GTCCAATATATGGTGCTGTTATTTCCATACCTCGACAGACACTCCAGAAACCATTGTGGACAACTGGAAAGGTGATACTAACTTTTCACCTAGGGATAGCTAGGAAGAATGTTTTCCTACTACTCCCATTACCATTTGTTCTGCTAACAGCTGTATAGTGTTAAAATGACAAACAATTGTACTGAGAGAAAAACACTGATTGTGTTCAATTGGAACCTGAGATTTCTTTCCAGTCCTTTTGGACTCATTATGCTTCTGATGATACACAAGGAATTGTGGTTCCCACAAATAATTGATTCAATCCAACTCAGAGTTCAGACTCTCCTCCAAGGAGCTAACACAGAGTAGGCTTGGAGTTCTGTAGTTTGTTTAAGGATCTCCTCACATTGGCAAACCTTGTTAGTAAGGTCAATGGAAAACAAATGCAACTCCACCCAGACAGAAGGAGAGTTTGCCCAGAACCCCCAAGAAGTCTTGAATTATTCCCCCAGCTGAAGTAGCAAGAAACCTGCTAGAAAGCTTGCTGAATATATATATATATATATATATATATATATATATATATATATATTCACATACATAATCTTCTTTGTATTTTTTACTGTCTGCAAGATAACATTTTTGAACCATTGTCACCAGTTTAATATTAAATCTACATTATTAGAAATGTCATGAGGACTCAAAAATCACGAAAATTAACTTTGACTCCTATCCTAAAAAAGCCTTTGTGTTTCCCATTTCTATGTAGGTTACTTGTATTATGTTAGAACCTGCTACTGCCTTTATTTGGAAGTTTAGTATGGTTTAACTAGACGTATCTTGTCATGAAATTGATAGAGATGAACAGTGACCATTAATCATGGTAGGCAGATTAGTAAAGTCCATTTCTGCATATGCCTTTGAGATATTTGCAGATATGATCGGAATGTTCTCCACCCCACTGGGCAGGTAAAACCATCCAGATTGGGATTGCAACATCCAATGGGCTTGCAGTCTGTGTAGAATAAAAGGGGTAGAAAGACCTGGTCTCCTGCGCTTGACCAGAGCTCATCTTCTTCAGTCACCCATTTTGGCCTCTTTGCAGTGACTCTGCTGTAAGATTCAGGGTTTTGATCTGGGTCCTATAATTGTTTCCTTCCCCCTTGTGTTCTGCAACTTGCAGCTTGTTTTCTTAAACAGGTCCTGGACAATCTGGCTCTCCAGCCTTCAGACAGCGTTGTGACTTGCCCTGCTGCCATACTGTAAGTGTAAATAATAAAGCTCCTTGCATAATTTTACATTTCTTTGTGCTTTATATATATTATATTGTTTCTGTCCTTCTAGAGAAGCTCTAAGCAATCAGTATAACATTCTACTCAGTATTGAATAGTTCAGTGATAGAAACCACGAAAACATACAATTTTAGTTCTTACTTCCAAGTTTAATCACAGGTGTGAATTTGCTATTTTTACTCAGAAATTTTACTTTCATTTTCCTTTTCTATAAACAGTCTGAACTAAAATTCTATAAGTAACTTTCCCTAAGAAGTTATCTAATAACCATGAAATGTTTCTTTCATTTTTCTCTCCAAAGCCCATCAATATATAGTTTAATTATTTACATAATACATTATTCCATGACATAATTAATTCATATATGTATGTATTAAGCATAACTATTTATTCTTACATATTAACTGCAACAGATAAATAGTATTGCATTACATTTACCATTGTAATTAATTTTAAAAATGCACATTATGCTAAGAAGTTATATTACATTTAATATAAAAGGATAAGGAGTAAATGGGTTTGTGGTAGAAATTTTGACATACTTGAATAAAGAAATTAATTTTCATATCCATTTTCATTGAAAGAGAAAAATAAAACAAAATTTCAAATACAGAATTATTTTGGACGGTGAAACATACTTACGCTAAAGTTGCAGGTCGCATTCCCTTTGAAATTCTTCTCTTGTTCAATCCCTATTGCAATGTATTCCACACGTTAGCAGTGTGTAGGGAAGGAAGCAGTGTGTCAAAAAATGACCAGATTTATGAGCTGATATCATAGTATTTCAATTGGGATCGATACAGACTCATACCATTCCTTCAATGATTCTTATTTCCCCTCTGTCCGGCTCCTCATCCTTCGTGCCAGCTGTTGGTGTCACTTGTTGACAGATTTTCTTACTCATATGATTCCAATAGAGGAAAGAAATGCAATACAGCATCTATTTCTCTGTAACCCAGCTACTTTTTATATTAATTCCAACTTTCTTGATCCAAAGGAAAAAAGCAACTATCCAGTACCATTTTAAAATCCTTTCTCTGCATTTAGAATTGATGAATCATCACATGTGTTGTTTATATTCAAAATCTAGCACTGCTTAAGCTAAGGTAATTAGAAGATCTTATTTCAAAGATGATAGTGTTGCTTAAGTTTTTGACTCAGATATTTGATTAAATGGTTTATAATATTAAAATTATGGCAAAGAAATACCCTAGAATGTGATTATTATTGCATTCCTTCATCTGTCCATATTTTTTCAGTGACAATTCTGAGTTCTTATGTTGCTTTAGCTGCATGGATATAAAATTTACATATGTGAGTCTGACCATGAATTTATGGATACAAATTTTACTTATGTGAGTCTCACCATAAATTTAATTCACTGTACTTAGCATCATATAAAAAATCTCCAAGTGGTAAATATATGTTTTAAACTATTTCCAGAGTAACATATGTCATAGAAGGCTACTTAATTAAGAGTTAATTACAACATTTCAACCTCTGTCCTTGAAAATGAAAAAACAGCGGGCTAGCCTTTCTGCTCACTACATGATGTTAAATGTGTGAGTGAATATGTGTGACCTGGCACATCTTTCTGGTCTCAGAAAACACTGTGTTTTTAGCCCTATCAAAAATCTCTGTTGTGACGGGGTTGGGAATTTAGCTCAGTGGCATAAGTGCCTGCCTTATGAGCAGGCAGTCCTGAGTTTGATCCCTGGTACCAATAAAAACAAACAAACAAAAAAATCTCTGTTGTGAATGCAGATAACTTACAATTTAGACATGGCTGCACATCAATGTGATTTAAATAATTTATTTGTTAAATTTTTCAAATTGTTTACTTTTCAGATCTACCTTGTTCAAATTCATTTCATTTCAAGTCGAAGCAATCAATCTTGCTGAACTATATAAAATAGGTGAATAACTTCTGTATCTTTATATTCACTTCCTCCATGCCTGTTTCTTAATCTATAAACAGTGATAACAATGTAAATTTAAATACATGCTAAATTACACAGAAATGTATTATATAATGTAAAATAAAGCACCATTCACATATGCCATACAAAGAAGACAAATAAAGCATGTATATCAAGGAAAATGAGAGCAATCTTATCAGTCTATATGTGGAGACTGAAAGCACTTTTATAGTACTTATTCTATAACTTGTGACCTTTGCACATATATATTTTGAAATTTTGGCTTTAATAGCAATCTTAAGTGAGAAACTTTCTAATTTTTGTTTTTTAATTTTAAAACTAAAAATGAATACAAATGATGCAGTATTTCAAAATAAAACTATTGGATAGTAACAATGGTTAATATATTGCATATTTTCTTCAGAGTAGTTATTCAGAATACCAGATAGAGGCATGAAAGCAATGATCAAACAGTAGAACAATGAAAACACAAACTACTTTTTGATGAACTAAAAGAGATTATTAGTATAATTAACTATCTTGTGTGTATATCTTTTTATTTTGACCTTCTTTCTTTTGTCATTCCCCAAATTCCAGTTATTATTTCCTTCTGAGTAATTCCATTCACTTCCACAATATCTATTGTATATTCTGTATCTTAGTTAGATTTTGGCACTAGGAAGACAGTATGATATTTACATACATGAGTCTGATTTATTGCACTGAGTATGGTCTCAAATGGATTAACCATTTACCTTAAAAGTCTCATTTATCCTTCACTGTAGTTGAATGATACTCCATTGTATAAAAATATCACATTTTTTAAATCCCATTCAGTGGTTTATGATATTTTGTTTCTTTGAAAGATTTAAATTCAGTTTAAAGATTTTAAAGATTTAAATTTAAAATTGCACACATATCAGTGTGCTATCATAGTTTCAATTATGGGAGGATAACCAGAAGTGAAATAGTGGGGTCAAAATAAATATCCAATCCTTTTTTTGGAGAAATCTCTGCACTTATTTCTCCAGTGGTTGCACAGTATAACCCCCACCAAGTGTAGAGAAATGTTTGTTTTCCCCCACAGTCCTACTAACATTTTTTTATTGACTGATTTGTTGATGATAGCCATTCTTTCTGGAGTGAGATGCTGGTTTAACTTGCAGTTCTCAAATGACCAGTGATGTTGAACATTTCTTCATATATTTATTTGCCATTGTATTTCTTTATATGAGAAGTGTACATTCATCTAGATGTCCAGTTTTGATTGGGGCCTTTGAATTTGGGTGGCCTAATTTATTTTCAATCATATATATATATATATATATATATATATATATATATATATATTCTGGATATAAGTCCTCTGTCTAAGGACAGTTGTTTAATTTCTTTTCCATTCTGTAAGTTTTGCTTTCACAAAACTTTTTCACTTCGTTTGAAGTGCAAAAACTTTTTAAAAACATGAATTCTTTGTTGTTGATTTTTAAATTGCTAATTTATATAAAATAAAGCTAACATTCTGAATTTAAATACATTATGACACTGATAAAAGTTCATACAATAGACTTCAATTATCTGAGATTCTCCTACCAGAAATGATCTCAAGATTACTCTTACATCATTTTTATCATTTTCATGTATTGTAATTAATCAAAATCCATTTCTTTTTCACATATCTAATGGAAAATGAATGAGAAATAAATTATCTCTCTATGTTTGAAACTATGGGATCATTTTGGTGAGGGACAGAGAAGACTGTGAAGAGTGAGGAGTATGTCTGATTAAATATGTCTGTGAATGCTTCTAGGGTTCAGAACCAACATCTGAAATTGGACCAGGGAAATCCAGGACTACTCCCCTGAAGTGTGCTTCCTGTCTCGATCACCACCATGAATGCCAAGGTGAAAGGTACGTTGCAGCAAATAATGAGTGCTGGCCTTACCACCATCCTGTGTGGGTTATCATGAAAATGTTGCTAATGACAAGAGTTCTCAGGTTTATATGGTTAAGAACCATATCAATATTGTCCTGGAAAGCACCTACACAGTTCAAAGGAGAACATTTGTGAGGTCCTCCAGTGGTAGAATCCTGCTAGCTTTAGACATTTGGCTATCTTTGGAGACTTTTTGCATTAATTCAGGAGCAGGTGGAATAGTGAGGGAGCTTCTGGTGTCTATGAAGTAGAGGACAGGGGACTGCCAAGCACTCTACAATACAGAATGGATCCCACAACAAAAAATTATGTAGCTCAAAAGCCATCAATAGTGAGATTGGGGAACTCTGGACTACAATAAGTCCACAAGTCATTCAGTCCCATCCTCACCACACCAAAAGACAGAAACTAAAGTTTCTGGTCCTCAGGTTTCTTATGTAAATTGTGTGACTTTAGTCAACCTAATGAAACTTCTTCTAAAGCCACATTCAGACAGTGATGGCAGTGGTGTATCTTACTTAGTTTTGTCAGTTTGCACAATGTTCTTTAAAAGGAAAGAGCAGGACAGTGCTAAGTAATAACCTTTACTGAGTAAGTGACATCTGTCAGAAATTTAAGTTAAAATTAATCATAAAATACTTTTGATATGAAGAAGAAATTGATTAGTCTGCTTATTGCGGGCCGTAAAAAACTCTCTGATGACAAATTTGTGTGCTAATTGGTAGGTACATATATTTAGTGATGAACTTCTTACAATTCTATATCAGTTTCTCCATCTCCAAAGCACTTTCTATACAAATCTACATAAAATTTGCATTTGGCTTCATTATATTAGTATACCAACTATAACACATTTAAATTTTTGAATCATTGCAATAAGTGATACTATGTACAAAACTATATAGTATGGAGAAATAAAACTATGTCTTATGAATGATTGCATGTTGTTTTAATTTTACAACTCAATTTATCTTCAGCTCAATTGTAAAACAAATATATTTGTATTCCTTTCTTTGTTTCCTTAGGAATATACTTTAGAAATTATTCACACAAAATTCTATAATACTTGCCTAGATTTATCATATAGAATTCCATCTTCATTTCTCAAATTTATGTAGCATTCAGTCTCCTGGTGATAAAATTTTAACATAAGAAACCTGTTGAAATAGCATTCCTGAAGGTAAAAGTGTTTTTAATTTTGTAGTTGCCTGTCTCTTTCTCTTTGGGGGTAAAAATTATTGATATGCTAGTGTTCTACATCTTTTCATCTACTGAAAAAAACAATTTGACAGACCCACCTTTGATCTCTGTGAAAGATTTCGATGTGGGAGTTATATAGAGCATAAGAAGCAGATACAAGTAAACTTCAGATGGACCATGTCACTCGACACTCTAGAACAGAGAAGTTTGTCACAAGAGATAGTAAGAAGCTCTTCACCTACCCCACAATCTCTGAAATGGCCTTTGAAGCACAAGCGCAGGCTGGGGTCACACAGGTGTTCATGCAGTGACAAGATGAAACAAGAAATACATCACGGGTGTGCTGCTTCCTCTGAACACTACTGACAGTACTTGGGAAACTCATTGAAGTTCACTAGATCTTATGGTTTGTGGATTCCATTTGATGCTAAGTATGAAGGCTCAGTCTTTTCAAAGGGTTCATGAAGCTGACATCTAGAAAAACGTACAAAAGTCTGGCAAAATATGAAGCAAGTGCTTAGGATTATCATACTGAATTAGCAGTTACAGGTCCATGGTATCATTCTGTGACAGATTTCTATTTGCACTCAGTACTCTCAAGCACGTACATTTTTTTTAATACATGAAGTTAAAACAGATATATTGTGGTGTACATTTCAGCCCAGTGTCCCAAAGAAGATATGAGAGAGTTCAAGTATTACAAAACCCTGCAATATCTGACAGCTGAAAATCTACACATTCCCATGGATTAAAATTATTTTAAAGGGTGATTTATCTCAGTGGCTCAAGCATTGGATGGAAAGTGCATGGTTGTGACTTCAATCCCTGGTACAAAAACAATGAAAAATAAAATAAGATAAAATAAAATAAAATAATTTAAAGAATTGGCTTAACATTGCTTATCAGAATTAACCGAAATTCCCAGAATTTGCAAAGCAGTGACACATCTGGGAGAAATATAAAAAACAGGAAATGCCTCACTTTTCAAACTGGGTCTATGTTCAATTATCCACATAAATGTCATGGTGTAAGGTGTCCCTTAGATTCTTCCCCCTCCCAGGAGAACAGCATCAGGATAGGGGTCAAGAGAGGCAAGGCTTCCCAAGTGATGTCTGTTTGGAAAACCTGTAAAGTTGATAATCGAGAGTGGCGATTATCTTGATTTACCCAGGGTCACGTTTAATGCTCCTGCTGATGTCAAGCCTACTCCTGTGGAAGAATGTAGCTTCCCAGTCCAAATGTATTGGCAGAACTGACCACTGGACTACATTGCCACATCTGGTTCAGCACGCAGTCACTTTGTCTGACAATATCCACGTCCTCACTTCAGAACTGTACCAGGACTTTGTAAGTACCATTCTTTTCACTTCTTCTCAAAGGGAGCTGTACCAAAAATTCTGGATAAAGAATACAATCTGAAAATGAAAACTTTATCACTGAAATTTAAAGTAATATTGATTGATGTGTTGAAAGAAAGCTTAAAACAAATAAAATGCGAAATAATGAGGACGGAAAGTCCATGACATCTATGATTGTCAAAAAATTTGGAGATTTTAAAAGATCCTTAATTCAGTTGGTTTTTTAAAATGCACATTCCTGAAATTAGCCACTGGTAGGTGGGCCTGAGGAAGCATGATGATTTCTTTCTCTAGCCTTCAGGGACAGTACATGTGAATTCCTCCTTGAGTGCACCAGTTATCCAAAATATGGGAACAGCTCAGAGGAGAACTAGGCAGATCAGACAGAACTGAACTAAAATCATTTCTTGTCAGATATAAAGAAATCTAAATTTTCTGAGCCACAAAACACGTGAAAACAGTGAGCCAAGATTTCCACTATAGGATAACAGAAGGTTTGGTTTAGCAGTGAGCCTGGTTCTTGTTTCCAGGTAAAGTCAGTTTTAGCAGTGTGCATTGTCTCTCACAGGGTCAGCACTGCAGTAGATGGAAGGTTAGGCTAAGGAAACCAATGGATTGCATAGAGAACTGGCCCATGTTTTTGATATATTCACATCACACAGTCCTGTTATGAATTCCTGTCTACTCTTTTGGCATTTTTTACTTGCCCTGAATATCACTCCCAATCTTCCTAAAATTTCCTCTCAACTTTCACAACATTTGCTTATTACTAGTCATTGCAATCTACTGTCTAATCTCAATCTGTTCCTTAGAATTTCATCAAGGGTTTTGTCTGTGATTTAAGATTGTTACAATAAAAACATATTGTTAATTGATGATGAATTGGTAAGTTGGATGTACATAGAATAAGAGCTAACTCAAAGAAAAGTATGACATTTATGTCTGTTTAAGGAAAGTATATCAGTTTGGATGCTTGGGAAACAAGAGGTCAAATAGATAAAAACAGACACGTATGCATCATGATCTTTGGTGAAATACTGGAGATAAGTATCTCTTAAAACAGGTATCTGGGCAACTTTGCTGTTTTTCTTGTCTGTGTTCCACACTGTAAGTTATATGAAGGCTGAGAAAATAAAAGCATAGTGAAGTAAGAGGGTGGGAGGCCAGAAAAGTTAGTTTGGGAAACAATTAAATTCTGGAACAAATGGGAAAACTACACTAAAAGGGTTATTTACTAACTGTATTTTCAGACTTTTTGGAGCCTTCTTCTGGAATCAATTATGCATGCATTAGATATAACCACATAAAGTGGATAGATGTGTAATTTTACTCCCAAACCCAATGCACTAAATTTTTCTTTGGTTCCAGATAACCCTGTACTCCGTGGACCGAGACCTCTATTTGAAGAATATGAAAAGTTGTCATACAGCCTCCATCACCACCCCTCTTGACAAGGAGCAGATCCTGAAGATGAAGGTGAGTCCAGCCCAGCACCACCAGCACCTAGGAACCAGTGTCAGGCTTTGCAGGCTGTAGGCTCTAAGGGCCACTGTGTTCTGTGTTGAGAGGAACCACATTGCAGAACAGAGCAGCAGGATAGGGAGCAGTGAAAGCAATCACACTGTACCTAGAAAACTCAGTGAAAAGTCAGTGCTGAATAAAGATCTGTCAGCTGGAAATGCAGATGATCTTATCTGAACCAACACCCCACATCTAGGATTTTATTGAAAAATGTGGGTGCAGCTTACACAGTGTAGGTTAACGTGGCTCCTGCGTAGGTGGTGGTCCAGTACTGACCCTGCACCTTCTCTAGGACACTGGCATCTCTCCCCTTCTGCTTCTGCTTCTGCTTGTTGCAGTGCCCACTCTTTCAGTACCCACTTTCTCTTACCCTGGCCCTGATTCTACTGAATGTCAACTCATTGTGACTGTACCATCTGATATCATGATACCATGCTCAGAGTGTGAATTTGGTCTCTACTGTAATGATAACAAAGAAAACTTATCAAACCCCAATAATTTATCTGTGATCTATCCTTGCCTGTTATAATCGTGCTCTACAGATTTTCTGCCCTAGACACAATAGGATTTTAATGAAATCATGGAATTCTAGAAGTAACATTGAGATATTCTTATCAATTATAAATACTATCAAAAAAGTATTTATTTGAATCATCTAGTTACATGTGATTGTTTGTTTGATTTATTGTATTAATATTTAGGTCAATAGCTTAACAACATTTGCAAGAACATCTGTGACTGGGCTGGGATTTAGCTCAATGACATAAGTGCCTGCTGGGCCAGTGCAATCCCTGATACAAAACAAAACAAATCAAACAAAATAAAACAAAACAAACAAAACAAAACAAAACAAAACAAAACAACACATCTATGACATACAGAAAAGCTTACACATACATAGGATGCTCCAATAAGTTTTTTAAGTCAACCTCAGTACAAAGTTTGCTTGTCACTAACCTGTCGGTGTCTCACTCCTGTTATGGCATGCTCCAACCTGTTGCTCAGGAAAAGGACATGATCATCCTGGTGATTCGCTTGATGTCCTCCTGGGATAACCCCTTGAGCCACCTCATAGCCCAATCAGTTCGCCTCCCAAAGATTCCCCAGAGGTTCATGAAGAAAGCTGAGTTGATCCGGGAAAAAATGCACTATCTTCTAGAAGGCCTGGAGATCATGACCAGGCAGGTGGGTAGCTCCTTATGGTTTCTTGGTTTTCAGTTTTCAGGGTCCCCTCTGCACTGGGAAGTAGAACGATATCCCTTGTTTTGAAGGAATAACATTTAGCCTGAATATTGAACCTTCCAGTCTTCTACTCCACAGAGTCAGAGGCATAGGAAACAGTTAAAATCTCAATGTCAAGGCACCTCAGGATCTTAGATGCTGAGAGAGCTGCCTCTTCTGCACAGAACAGGAAGCCCCTTGGACTGTCCCTTCATGGGTGGTGGTTATATATCTCCCATGAGAAGAAATTCCCACAAGATTGCCTGCAAGAAGTATATATCTCAAAGTATTTTAGGACTCCCATCCTTAAGTTTTGGACAGATTCCACTTCCTTTAGCCTTATCAGTTGTTTAGAATCAAGAAAGAGAAAGAAAAATCACAACCTGATTTCATGCTCTACCAGCCTATTCTACACAGAGGAGACTGATTTTTCCATACCACCTATGCTTTGAATCACTAGATTATATAGCACTATAAAATAAAAGGTGACCTCTTGTGGAATGCTCTGTGTTGTATAGCATATGTAACATTATACAACATTGTTTGGTATTTGTAGTTTAAAACTTGCTCCATTTCATTTAATTTCCCCAAACAATTTATCATACCTTCACTGAGTCACTCTTTTTAACATGCATGTCTACTGTACTAATGCAATTTAAACAAAAGTACAATAAACAGCTTTCTGAGTTTCTCTGAAATAATGTATCATCAAAGTAAAGATTCAGCATTACAGAAATAATAACAAGCAATGATACATTTCACTTTTCAGGTACTAGGTACATGTTAAATGGTATTATTTTGTGATTGTCTTTGAAGAAGTTTATCTCTAACTCATGGAAACATTGAACTGCAAAGAATATATTAACAGAGGAACATAGAAAATTAACCCTTAATTTTCAAAATTGTCTTCATTATTAAGAACTGAATCCTAGAACTCACTAATTTGTTGTGTATTGGTCAATTTCTTTTCTGATTTTCCTACCACTTCTTCATTTGTTACTGTTCATATAAGATTATGTTTTCTTTCTGTAGTAGATTTTGTTTTTTTCCCAGCCTGTGGATAAGTCCACAGAGACCCTAGAAGGGGAGTGGGGATGAAAAAGAAACAAGAGATGCAAAGAGTGGAGACAAGATGAAGAGGTCCAATCAAGTGTCATTTAAGGAGTATCAAATATATAGAGTATTGAGTAGGAGCAAGATGGGTTGTGAGATGTCAGCAGGTAACTTAGCAATAGTGGCAAGACCGAGAGTTATAGTTCAATTCATAAGGCGGGCTGATTAGCATAATCCCTTAATAAACCAAACAAGCTAGGTAGGCAAGGTGCTGCTTAACTACCAACTTAACTCCTAGAGAGAGTTAAGGTGGTGCAGCTTGCAGATATAAGGTGGCAGCCAATTACAGGGCTTCCCACAGTTCCCCCTTTACTTTAAAATATAAGAGGCTGCATCCTTCAGAAGACTTTAACTGCCTTGGGTCAGGGCACTTCCACAGGGGGCCCAACCTAGCCTTATCTGTCATTGGAAGGCAGGGCAGTGAGAGGGTCAGTTCCTGTCTTAGGAGGAGGTTCGTGTCCCATGTGAGGCCCAGTTGCCTGTTTCTGGCTATCCAGTCTATCACACCAAGGCAAGAGAAATGGAGCAGGCGCCATGCTTTCACAAAGCTTATCATAATACAGTTTTGCAGGCTACACATAGTTTTCTCCATCAGCCATTCTAAACCTGTGGTAATGGACCTGCATAGGTTGCATTTTTATGGCATCCACCTGTTGTTTGACAAAAGTCATCAACTTATTCTTACAGTCTCAAGAGACAGGATCCATTCTGTTGGTTCCATCACCTGAAAAAAAAAAAAAAAACAGTGAAAAAATCTCTCAAGGGTCATTTTCGTCCCTGGAGTCATTTGTAACATTATCCTCTATTTGTTACATTTGATCTATTTGTTTAACCAATCACTCTGGAATCCATCTCACAGATTTCATCTCTTTAGAGTAAATTCATACTGATCCTTGTCCCTAGATAAGGACTGGGTCTGGACCATGCCATGAATTAGTCAGCGGGTCTTTCCATAATACAGAAGTAAATTGCTTTTGTGTTTCAGTATTCCAAAAATGAGAGGCTGCTGATTGTCCAGCAGCATCCAAATTTAAAAGAAATAAGGATGGATAATGCCTTAGAAATAGAAAATAGAATATGTTTAGGTGTCCCCCTTGTGGAGTACCATACCCTGTTTTTTATTTTATTAACAGTGAGTACTAGGGAGAGATGTGCCCTTTCAACTATGCCTTGATCTTGAAGGTTATAAGGTATGCCTTTTATATGATGAATATTAAGATGTTGACAGAAATGGCCGAAGGCAGAACTAGCATAGCCTGGACCATTATGTCTTTATTTGTTGTGGGCATCCCAAAACTGATATGTAGTTAATGTATGGCTAGTAACATGTTTAGTAGCTTTGCCAGTCTGGGGAGAGGTATAAATGAAACCACTAAAGGTATCTATAGCTACATGAACACATTTAAGATTGCCAAACTCGGGAATGTGGGTGACATCCTTTTGCCATAGTGCATTGGGGATAAGTCCTCTAATATTAATCCCAAAGTGTGGAACTGAGAGGTGGGTGGCACAAGAGGGGCAATTTTTTACTATCGGTCTCCGTTGTTTTCTAGTGATCTTTTGCATAAGATGGAGGGTTTTGGAACTGAGATGGTGTAAGTGATGACTCTTTTGTGTTGAAGTAACATTTTCATCCTGATTACTGGAGCTAACATTAGCTAAAGTACAAATGAGAGCTTGTGGTCAAGTGGCCAGGTCTGATGCATGATTACCATTGGCCAGAGGTCCTGGTAACCCAGAGTGAGCATGTAGATGTCCAATAAAAAAGGGCAAGTTCTTTTTATAATAAGCACCTGTATTTTTACATTTCAATCTTTTGTTCTAATCTTAATTGAATAATTGATTGGAACTAAGATAAAAATTACTATTAATATGAGTAATACATTGCTTCTCTCTTTGGTTACTAGGTTGGCCTTCAAGACACAGACTATGCGGACTATGCTATTTGGACTGAACCCCCATCCTTGCAGTCAGCTGAGGGGAAAGATTTCATTGATACTTTTCACCACCTGTGCCACTGCTTCCACAGGGATATATATATAGTGGACAGTTTACTAAAGGTCCTAAAAGCCCAAGTATCCCATGATAGACACAACTAAGCCCATAGCCCTTTTTGCTGTTCTGAGAAGGATCTTAATGACTATGCCTTGGACAGATTCTTTTAATTTTAAATAATTTCATTTATTTATGGGTATAATATTATGAAGTATGTCTTCTCCAAAAAATAAAAACTGAATATTTTGCATTGTCTAAATATTCGAAGTCAGTGTCTAAAAATTTCTTTCCTTCATTAAATTGAAATCTCACCAAATATATCACTACAATTGAGAAATTTATATTGATTGATACTTCTTTCTCTCAAAGTTATCTGTCAGCCCTCTCAAACTTGCACCCTTGAAATTGAACACAGAGAACAGGCTGCATCTGTGCCCACCTTCTCGAACCTCGGACCTTAAACTTCCACCTAGGAGGGCAGAATGCTTCCATGTCTGCCCTCCCAACCCTCAGACCCCAGACTTTCACCTCAGAGGGTGGGTCACTTCCATGCCTTCTCTCCTCAGCCTTGGACCTCAGACTTCTACCTTGGAAGGAAGGCCATTTTTCCAAAGCTCTCCCCCCCCCAAGGTATCCTTCTACCACCTATCCCTGGTATTGCTGTTGATCTTTGGCCACTTATCCCCTCCAAGATCCTTGGAGTGCAATGGATTAACCTTGCTGTGTTTATGGGAGACTCAGTAACCCCTCAACCAAACAGAGGATCTCAGCAAGCTTTCATCACTGTGATGAGTTTTCCTTAAAATAGACATCTTCAATGGGTAAACAGGAGCAGTGTTCAAGTCCCCTCTACCTGGAGGAGCTTTTCAAGATAGGCAAGAGTATGGGTGAGTTCTTCCTCCACATAGAGAACAACAAGGGGGTTTAGGAGTGTGCCAAGAAACCCTCCCACAATCTGGAGAAAACTAAAAAGGCTTAACAGACACCCAATGACACTGTAGTGTCCTGGCTGAGACAAACACTATAGAAAGGAAGATCTAGTGGCCTAGAACAAACAGAAGACATACTAACTGTGGGAACCAAGGGTTGACTTACATAAATATTCTTAAGCTAGTCAGTCTAGGAAGACTATAGGACTAAAACAACAGGCTCTGCAGGAGATATTCAGGTCCCTGGCTCACCTATTCATCATGAATCAGCAACTGGATAAACATCAACCACACAGTAGAATCCTAAGAAATACACTACAAAAAGTTGAAACTAGTGGAATTGAATGACCAAATATTAGTCCAAAAGGCGAAAATAACAAAACAAAACTTCAAATTTCAATCTTAAACATCACTCCATCAGGAGCAAATACAGGAGACACTGAAATAGAAGACTTCAAAAGTCATACGCCTGACATTTTTGAAAAGACAGAAAGAGAAATAAAGAAACAAATAAACAAGATATAGATCAAATAAAATTAGAAATAAGTTTTCATGTAAAGACAGAAATGACAACCTTAATAAAAGTGCTGCTGAGCATAGGTAGAGAAGACATAAATAAAAGAACAAAGGCACATGAGATGATGGAAATCTTGAATGAATGATACAGAAAAGAAGTAGAATGCATAATATAAATTTATGGATATATCCAAGGACAAAATATTCTACTGAAAGCTGCCTAAATTGTTCAAATGAAGCTGAGAATAGAAATTCAGACCTTGAGGATAGGATTTTAACTAGTGATCATGAAAGGGTAGAACTTCAAGGACTCTGGGAAGTCAAGCCAGCACCTCCCTTCCCTGGTAAGCAGCGGTAGTGTGGCCCACTGCAGCCCTTCCAAGACAGAACTAGCAGTGTCTCCTGAGATCCACGCCATGTTGGAATTTAGGACTCTGGGAAGCCAAGTCAGCAAATCCCCTCCCTGGTAAGCGGAGGCAGGGTGGCAGACTGCAGCCCTTCCAGAGGGAGAACTAGCAGTGTCTCCTGAAATCCACGCCATGTTGGTACTGAGGACGCTGTTAAAACAAATGACCATTCTTACTCCCTGCTTAGCAATAGTGAACCTATTGCTACATGGCCTAGAGTCAAATATCCCACTTCCCCTATCCTCCTTCTCCTCCTCCTCCCTGCTCATTAGCAAATGGGAACCAGAAATCTGAGCATTTCCTGGGAGATTGACCATAGCAAATAAGGGGGACTTCCTTCTACCATTTCTTTGAAGGCAAATATTTTTATTTCTGTTTTGCTCTTTTCTGATTAATGATACTGCTCTATTCAATATTCTGTTTTGATAAGTTCTATAGTACTCTATATTTCATCTCATTTTGATATGCAGGATTGAAAGAACAACTATTATAAAGATAACAAAATATACTGTGATATCTATTACTGTTATCCCAGTAACCTGTTGTGAAGTTCTGTACCAATTTCACTGTATGATCTTAGTTGGCTTTATTCTGACTTGTTCTGTTGTATACTTTCAAAATAAAAATAAAAAAAGAAAAGGTAGAACTTCTAAAAATATCAAGGCAGCATGAAATGACAATTTAACAGATTCAATATGATGCCAAGAGAAACAATGTAAGATTAATAGGCATCAATAAAGATTCAGGAGTTAACACAAATGACATTAGTTAAGTATTCACAGAAGTAATAGCAGAAAATTTCCCACACATAGGTATAGAATTGGATGTAAAGATAAGTGAGGCATATAGGACAACAAGCAGTCACAACCAACATAAATATACACCCAGACATAATAATTAAGAACCCAGACATACAACATTAAAACAGAAAACTAAAAGCTGTCAGAGAAAAGACACAACATACCTATCAAGGATAGCTCATTAAAACCACAGCAGAATTTTCAGTGCAAACCCTTAAGATGTGTTTACAGAGAAGTAGCTCAAGCCCTGAAACAAAACAACTTCTAAGCCAGGTTAGTACACCCTGAAAAACTTTCTTTCAAAATTAATGGAGAAATTTGATACTGCCATTAGCAAGAATAACTGTAAAATTCATGTCCAACAAACCAACCCTAGAAAGTGTACTGGGAAACATATTAGATAGAGAAAAACAATAAACATTATTGCTAGACAAACAAGATAAATAAAGCATCAGACAGGGCAAGCCATTCAATAAGGGGGAAAAGCAGAAAACCAACAGCAAGAACATCTCATGATGAAGTAGAGCCAGCACATATTGGTGATATTCATCAAAGTGAATGGCCTCAAGTCAACTATCAAAAAATAGATTGACAGAGTGGACCAAGAAACAGGATATCACAAAATTCTGTATACAAGAAACATATCTGACTCAAAAGGAAACTCAAATATCAAAAGTCAAAACATGAAAAACAATATTCCATGCAACAGGAAACAAGATAAAAGCAGAAATAGCTACACACTTTGCAAACAATGTGAATTTCAAGCCTAAATTGATTAAAAGAGATAGAGAAGATCACCACATACTTGCTAGTGAAATAATTCAAAAGGAAGAACAAATAATTATAAATATATATGCACCAAATACAGGAGCACCTAACTATATAAGGTAAATATGAATAGAAATAAAAAACCAAATACACAGGAACACAAATGTAGTAGGTGACCTTAATACCACCTTATCACAAAGAGATAGATCAACTAGACAAAAAGTCAGCAAAAAATAATGTAGAACGGAATCATAAGTATGGGCAAACAGACTTTGTAGATGTTTAAAGAGTGTTGCAGCCAACTACACCCGATTATAAATACATCTCAGCTGTGCATGGGGCATTCTCCAAGAAGAATCATGTATTAACACATTAACCATTCTTAAGTAAATGTAAAGTGATTGAAATTATCCTATGCATATTATCTGAACATAGTGCACTGAAATTGAAAATTAATGGCAAGAAAAATTTCAAAACCTGCATAAATACATGGAAATTAAATAACAGCCTCCTGAACAATCAATGGGTTTCAGGTGAAATTACAGAAGAAATTAAACAATATGTACCTTTCAATCAAAGTGAAGATAAAACATATTGAAACCTGAGGTATGCAATGAAAGCAGTCTTAAGAGGGAAACACGTAGAAATAAGTTGTCATAGCAAGAAAACAGAATAAGCTAATCTAATGCTCCATCTCAAGCTTCTAGAAATGAAAGAGCAAGTCAACCCAAAGCTCATAGATGATAATACATTGTAAAGATAGGAGCAGAAATTAAGACAACGGAGACTAAACAAACACTACTAAGAATTAATGAATCAGAAGTTGTTTTTTTGAGAAAAGAAACAAAATTGATGAACCTATATCCAATCTTATCAAGGAAAAGAAAGAAAAAACTCAAATTCATGCAACAAGCACTCAAAAGAGAATTTACTACAGATCCCATGGAAATTCAAAGATCATGAATACCTACTTTGAACGTGTCTACTCACATAGTATGGAAAACATAGAGGAAACAGACAGATTTCTAGAAACATATGAAATACTAAAGCTAAATCAAGAATATATAACAGGTTTGTATAACCCATTATTAGCTAAAGAAATTGAAAATATCACTAAAATCTTGCCAACAAAGAAAAGCTCAAGTCCTGTTGGATTGACAGCTGAAGTCTACAAGACTTTTAGAGAAGATTCATTTACAATACCAACTATTAAATTCTTCGATGAAATTGAAAGAGAAGCAATGCTCCCTAAGTGATTACTAGAGGCAAGCATTAATCTGATAACCAAATGAGAGAAACACCCAACCAAAAAGGAGAACTATGAGAAAATTTAATAATGAATATTGATGCAAAAATTTTCAATATAACATTTGCAAATAGAATGCAGCAAATTATCTAGAAGACTATACATCATGATCAAGTGGGATTTATTCCAGAAATGCAAGGTTGGTTTAACATATGAATAATAAATAAACATAATACTCCATACCAACAGAGCCAAAGATAAAAACCACAGGATTATTTCAGTAGACACAGAAAAAGCTTTTGCTGAAGTTGAACACTTGCTCGTGATACAAAAGTTACCAAGACTTGGAATAAATGCATGTACCTCAGTTTGATAAAGGTCATCTATGACAAATCAACAGGCAAATTACACTAACTGGAAAGAAACTGAAAGCTTTCACTCCAAAATCAGAATCAAAACAAGGATGTCCACTACCACCATTCCTATTCAATATAGTTCAGATAATATTAGTCAGAGCAATAGGAAAAGAGAGAGAGAGAAATAAAAGGAATAAACATAGGAAAGGAACAAGTTAAATTGTCATCATTTA